CCTTTTTGTTCAGCCTACTCTGAGAATCTGTTCAGCTGCTAGCTAAACGAAATTTCCCATGTTGGAGTGACTGTGGATCTACACACTCATACACACCCCTTGCCTTACCTCCTGCAGCACCTATCTGGATCTCAAGTGCTTGGAGAACATCTCAGCCAGTTTACAATTGCACTCTGTAGCAGATGCAGTGAAATGTCTGGTTCACCCCCCAGTAGATACTCAGAGAAGTGCCAGTTTTCCCGGCTTTCAGATTTCACAGCTGAAAGGCATCTAACAATGTAGGCTGGACACAAGGTTAAATCAGGAAAGTCTAGATGTTGCAGCCAGTAGCAGCCTGCCTCTTATCCGAGTACTAACCAGGCCAGACCCTGCTTCGCTTCTGAGATATGACGCGTCCAGGTAGTAGGATCACAGACTGCTACACGTTTCGCCTGACCCAGCTCCAAATGGATTGTGTGCGTGAAGGAAATTGGGACCGGGTTAGTTACGATGCACCTCCTTTAGCTTCCACGCTGCGGAACTCCGAATCCCAAAAGGCCTAGTCTGAAGTCCTCGAAAAATTCCAAATGGCAGTGTGGGAGAGTGGGGGGCTCTTATAAGAGCCTATACTTTAGATGCGACTCCAACTCGTGGCTAGTGTGATTTATTTAATTTTATTTTTGTAGAGGCAGGGGGCGATCAATGAAGGGGAAGGGGCGGGAGAGGGAGTAGGCGTACCCAGAGTGCTGACGTGTGCGCGAGAGAGCCAATGGCTAGTGGGGGGCGTTCCCTCCCATTCAGGACTCCTCGCCTGGTTCCGAAGGTATGTTAAACAGCTGCTTTTAATTTGGTCTCCCCAATTTCGTTCTTTTGGGGGGCTAGTTCCGTGGCTGCTTGCTTTGGTTGGCCTAAGGCTGTGTGGGTGCCGCGGTCCCCAAGACCGTGCTGCGGGGAGGCTCGGAGTCCGGCGGCCGAGGTAGGCTAGGGGCAGGCCAGGAAGAAGAGCGCTTGGCGCCGCCCGCTCATAGTGTTTCCAAGCCGGACTGGAGCTGTGGGGAGGGGGTCGGCTTGGCCTGGGGTCGCCCTTCCGCCAGCCGCGCCGCTCAGTTCATTTCACCAAACAGTCGGTTTCGGTAGGGCTCGGCAGAGCATTGGTGAATGGGCCGACAGGAGACCAACTGCTCTTGTAATGCTTTCAAAATATTTTAAAAGAAAAATCTCATGAAGAAGAAAAAAGGGGATTTCTGTACAGCGAATGGAACAGGGCCCGGGCTGCGGCGCGCGGGCTCGGCAGGGGGCGGCGGCCGCAGCCTGGTGGGTCAGGCCCACCGAGCTCACGGTGTCCGGAGTTGGTCGACCCCTGGAGTTTAGAGCAAGCCGGGGCCGGCGGTCTTTCTGCGCTAACCACGCTGGGTGAATGCAGCAGCCGCCCCGAGGGTTTGTTTCTGTCGGCAAACTTGGAGGGGTCGGTGGGCAAGCTCTAGGGAGGCGCGGGCACCATGGGCCCGCGGTTGTTAAGGACTCTGGGGGCGGGAGCAATGCTGTATTTGCGGGAGGAGACTGGGGGCGGGAGAGGTTCTGGCCACTAACCCCGGGAACTGCCGGTGTCTCCGAACTCCTGAACCGTGGCAATCTAGCAAGTATTCGCCACCAGAGCGGGATAGCCTGCGATCCGGCTGGGAGCTCTGGCTGAGTGTCGGAAAGCACCAGGAACTCGGCGGATTCGATTCGCGGCCCCAGCTGATCCTCTTGCAAACATGGAGCTGCCTCCTTCCCCGCCCACCTCACGGTGGCGGCGACTGCTCCCCCTCCCCGCGTAGTGCGCTGCCTGGGCTCCCTCTTTCCGCGAGGTGCCGCTGCGTGCCACAGGGCCGCGTACCGGGTGGGGGCAGCCGTGCGCGCGCGCGCGCTCACGAGGGGTGGCCTGAAAGGGGCAGTGAAGGTCGGAAACTGGGAAAACAGACTCCACGCTTGGAATAGGGAAAAGGAAATGCATCAGCGGGCGGGGAGGGGCGCGCCTGTCAGCCGGATGGCGGCTGCGGACCGAGAGGCGGGGCGCCGGCGCAAAGTGCGGGCAGTGGCGGTGTAGCAAGGGTAGGGAGCCTCAGAGACAGTCCTCAGAGTGAACGGCCACCTCTGCCTCTACTGCCTGACCCAGACTGTTTACTATCTCCTGCGGGGAGCTTGTGCAACCGGCCGAGAGGGGACCCGAGAGGGGCGGGGCCATTTCCTCTTCCACCCACTTCTGGCTCCCCAGAGGCCCCGCCTTCTCTTGTCTTCCACTGGTTGGATGCCAGTCCCTTTTTCCCTTCTTGTGTACGGATTGGATGACATTCTCTAGAGCTCCGCCTATCGGGAGGCTGGACTGGAGTTTAAGTTGCTAAGATTTTTTTTTTCGAAGGGCGGAGGGAGGATTCCTGGGGCTTATGAGAGGTGGAAACCCCCGCCCCTGCTCCTGATTGGTGGATTGGCTAGGCCTTCCCCTTCTAGGACAAACTGGGAGGGGACGTCCTCCAGCTCCCAGCCCCCCCTTCTCGTGAGCGCGCTCGGCACATGTTTGCGGCCCGCCTAGCTCTCTGCAACTTCCCTCCCGCCCGGAAGTCTCAGGCTCCGCGCCCTTAGTCAGGGGGGCGGGGAAAGCCTTAGAGGCACACAAAGATTCTTCCCAGTCTAGAGATCTGGTAGCCCTCGAGATGAAGCCTTACAATTGCGCTGTTGCTGTGGAAAGCGTAGCTCCGGGTTTGCCGCATTGAGGGGAGGGAATGAATTCGGGTCAACCGTTGCTGTTTTTCTCCGTACTCCTTGACTTCCTTAAATTTAAGTTTGAGAAAGCTTGAACATTGGCCGCATCCTTAATTCCCTGGGCAAGACAGTCGTGGTCCTTAGTCGGCGGAATCTGAGTATAGTAGCCAATTGATGGAACCTTAGGCAATAACTACGATACTTCGGTTTCTTGCGGTCAAGGGGAATCCAGGAGGCCTATTTCTGGCAAGGATTCGGGGGCGGGGGGAGTGTGTGTTGTTGATCCCTTGGTGTGGGTGCTGTATGGTAGGTACCCACTCTAGTGAGTAAGGTGGTCCATTTCAAGGTAGGAATCTGTCAATTCAGGAGTGCTGCTTTCTCAACCTCTGGACGGTTTGGCTCGTGTTTTTCTTATTTTTAGAGCACTGTCCTGGGCCAGGACTTGGCTTGGTTACCGGTGTGACTGCTCCCACCTGTCGGCCACTCTTGTAGTTCACAACTCACTACTATGACCTCGCGGCGTGGAACCATCCTAGGAGTCAGACCCACCTGTTGCCAACACTTATTTATGGCAGTCTCCTCATGATTACAGGAGGGCAGCGTCGGGTTTTCGAAACGTTTCCCCATGCAGTATCTCTTGGGGACACACTTAAGTCTAGGGAGGTGTTGGGTTTTTTGTTTAGTTTTGTTTAACAGTAGAGCCCTGGAAGACTAGTCCCGCCTAACTGTCCCTCATGGCGCAGAGAATGCACCCCCAAAGTAACGTTGGCTTTGGGCCCACGCCTCATTGGTGAATAAATAAAAGGAACTAGCAAAGCACTTTGTGTGCTTAAGGCATTGTTACCTACCCAGAGGGCTTTGAGACAGCCATTAATGCACTCTGGCAAGGAGGCTATTGGGGGGCCTCCTTTTTTTTTTTTTTTTTTAAAGAGGCTGGTCTAGAGTTCTTAAATTCAAGCAATATTACTGCCTCGTTCTCCTGAATAGTTGGAATTACAGTCTCTTTCCTTTGAACAGCTATTCTCGAGAGCACCCCCTCACACACACACTGGAATTTTTACTCATCCACTGAATATGAATGCACCCTCAAGGTTTATTTATACCGTGGTCTGTTTGAGCTTTTCTGCATCTCAGTTCCCCTGGCCTAAAATGTCTCTGGATCTGTCCTGCCAATAGGGAATACATTTTACCTCATGCTCCGCCTTCCGGAGGCTTGCCCAGGCGGTGACATTTAAAGGCCTCCGCTTGGTTGTCTCCGCCCCCTGAGGGCTGCACATTCAGGTTGTCGGAGTGTCACAGTATGCAGCCATTTCTTGCAATTTCTGGGTTTGTGTATCGGGTTAGAGCTCCAGACCTTAATTTGGGAGTCTACTGCTGAAAGTAGCTGCTGAATAGTCCAGATGGCTGTGTTTTGGAGAGTGAAAAGTGTAAAAATAAGTGGGTAGGAAGGATAAGGTTCTCTGTCATTGTTTTGGTGAGTCCTCCATGGTGGTAATACTACTGTTTTTCCCCCCTTCAAATCCTAAAGCCTCGGGTTTCGACCGCTGAGCTCCGCGCCATCTCCAGTTCGGGCCCTGGAACTCTGAGCTTCAGTCTCTAGTGTAAACATTCCACAAAAGGACTGCTAAGGTTCAGCATCCTCGCGCAGGGCGGAATGGGCTCCTTCCTGGACCGGCGCCGTGTCCAATGGCGGCTCCTACCGGCGCCAAGATAATCCAATCAGATCGTTGGGGGCGGGGCCTGGCCCAGCAGTGTGGTGGGTGGAGTCTGCCTCACTCACGGACATTTTTACCCCACATTGGTTACTTACCTTCCTGGGGCTGTGAGAGAACCAAAGGTAGCCTTCCAATGCGGTGACCGGCGGAGGCGGGAGCCGATTTGTTAGGCCTGTGGCTGGGGCGGTAGTGGGGAGGGATATGTGGGACTCTCCAATGAGGTGTGACGAGGTGCTTTTCTTCCTCCAATAACATTGCAGCCTGGGGGAGGGATTCGGCAATCAGTCTCCAATAGGCGGGGTTGAGTTAGGGACGCTCCCCGCCAATAGGGGCGTGGAGAAGGTGAGCGGCTCGCCCTCCCCTCCCAGCGAGGGAAGGAGGCGGGAGTAGGTCTGCGCGGCACGGTGATTGGCTAGGCCTTTGACGGATCGCTAATATATCCCGTGGCGGAGCGAGGTTAAGCCTTCCCTCGGCGGGGCGGGCTGGGAGAGTGGGCGGGATTTCCCGGGTAACAGAGAAGCGGCCGCGGCGGTAGAGGCGGCAGAGACGGTTTCTCCATCTTCCCCCCTCCCCTTCCCCCCTTGGAGTTTCCCTCCCTCCCTCCCTCCTTCCCAGTCTGGGCACTCAGTCCTGTGACCGCTTCGTGAGCGCAAAGGAGGTTGCCAGTCCGCTCTTGCGGGCCTGTGCCCGCGCCGTTCCGGGGCCTCCGTGCTGGGTGCGAGGCTCACGCCGGGAGCGACGCGCAGGCTGAGCGGCTGGAGCTTTTGCGGTGAGAGCACGCCGCGTCGCGGTCCGTCCGGCAGCTGGGTGGCGGGTAACCTGGGACTGGAGGGCGTGTGTTTTTCGGGGGGGGGCTGACCTCGGCTTCCCGTGCGTGGCTATGGGGGGCGGAGCGGGGCCGCACTCCGTGCGGGAGGGGGAGGAGAGCGTAGTCCCGGTGCGCACGGAGGGGCGGGCCCTCGTCCCGCCGATCAGAGGCGGGGCCGGCGCGCGTGCGGTGGTGGAGAAAGGGGCGGGACGGGCTCGCGCTAAATACCCGCGGCTGCGGCCCCGCCCCTCCTCTCCATGTGGGTGGGGCCATGGGCTGCATTGCTTTGGGCCCGCGGGGTGTGCGGGACAGGAAGGGGGTCTCCCGCGTGCGGCTTTCAGGGCGCGGCGGCGAGGGGGCGTGAAGCCCGTGTTCCCCCGCCTTCGTGGGATCCGGTTGGCCGGAAGGCGCGTTCGGGGCTGCGATGCCACGCCCCTCCCGCCCCGCCCCCGCCGGGGTTTCCGCCTCCTTGGCAGCGAAGCGGCGCTGGGGAAAGCCCGCTGTCGCGTCTAGCCGGGAGTTGGGGCTCTGTGTCTGCCCCTCCCTGCGTCCCTGTGGGTGGGAGGGGCTCTCGCAGAAGGGGAGCGGTGGAGGTGTACTTTATGCTGTGGCTCCTCCATCCATTCTGCCTAGGACATCGGGGCTCGGAGCTGTAGTCGTTTCTCCTTTGCTCCTAGCATCGTGGATGGTGCCGTCACAGCTAAGAGTGGAAGCGTGGTCAGCTGCTACTCTTAGTAGTAATTATTGGGAGGAGATGCTCAGCGTCCTCTCAGGAGTGCTTGCGGTGGGGTGCGGCTGGTGCTGTGCCCATGCTTCCGCGGCAGTGGCTGGTGGGGGAGGGGCAGAGTCATCAGGGGCTGGAAATGTCGAGGGCGCCAACCTTCCTTGGAGTTCTCTTGATGTTCAGCTACTGTGGCTTTACCAGGCGGAGCTTTGCATCGGAAGGGTAGTGGGTAAATAGCTAAAATAGCACCGGTTTTGGTGCCTTAGGACTTTAAACTCAGTTTTGCCCTTTGAGCTGCTCGCAAAACTGAGATTTTATTTTTACAGAAAGGATCGACTTTCCATTTTAGTCTCAAAACTGGTCTTTGACAAAGGTGATTTTAAAAAGTGATTGTGCATGTTGTAGTTTATCTAAGTCACATTAGCATTGCTCCACCACGAGGCTATATCCCAGGCCTGTTTCTTTTTTCTTTTCTTTTAAAGTTAGAGTTTTCATTCTGTATCTCTGTCTGGCTTCGAAGATTTTTTTTTTTTAAGCTAAGTAAAATATTCTGATTTCTTGACTGATATTCACCAGAGACGGTTTTGTTACATAAGCTTAGCTTCACAGTAAATTAGAATTTAGTATTCTTTTGATTTTATCTAATGGTTAGTCCATAAAGCTTAATGTTACCTTTTTTAGATACAAAGTAGGTTGAACTCCTGTATGAAACCTGTGTAGCATAGCCTACCAACTTGTGCTGGAGAGTTACTTTGGCCATTATGGATTTAGAGCATAGGTAACCATGCTAAATCAGATGTTGTTCCACCTTAGAGAAATAACTTTTCATGAAAAGTAAACATTGAATCCTTATTTATGCATTGGTGTCTGAATGAGCATGTTTAAGCCACTTTGTAAAAAAAGATTTGAAGTGTGTGGTGTGTGTGTACAAGTGCTCGCACCTGCAAGAGTCAGAATAGGGTATCAGATCCTCTACAGCTGGAGTTAACAGGTGGTTGTGAGCCACCTGACAAGGGTCTGGGAACCCAACTAGGTCCTCTGTGCTGAGCCATCTCTCCAACCCATAGTCTGTGTTTAGTCATACTGAAGTTAAATTCTAGATTTGTCATGGAGGCTGAAAACCACGCGCTGTGCAGTACGTAATGAAGAGGTCAAGTCTTCGCTTTTCAGCTAAAGAAGTAACAACAGCAGTAGTAATAGAATTGATGTGGAGGCCAGAAAACAACCTGGATGTTTTACAGATGTATAAACTTAAAAAGGTAGTAGAGAATACTTAACCTGAGTTCCATTTTCAGCACCCATGTCAACCTGTAACGGGATTTCCAGGGCCTTTGTGGGCACCTGGATACAGGTGCACATATTTCCCACATCCTTACACATAATTAATAATAGAAATATATCTAAAAATAAAACAGCATTTTTAAAATTCAAGCCTTAAGTAGTTCACCTAAAGAAATTTTTTCTTTTTTTTTTTTTTTTTTTGGTTTTTCGAGACAGGGTTTCTCTGTGTAGCTTTGCACCTTTCCTGGAACTCGCTTTGGAGACCAGGCTGGCCTCAAACTCACAGAGATCCGCCTGGCTCTGCCTCCCGAGTGCTGGGATTAAAGGCGTGCGCCACCACCGCCCGGCTATTTCTTTTTTAAGAATCAAGATGGGTATTCGACAAGATTTCTGGCAAAGTCCTTTTGTACAGTGCAGCCAATATACTGAAAAGCTATCCATGAAAGTTTTAGTGTAAGAATTTTACTTAGAGGGTGTGTTCATGACCTTTAGTAATCTAGTATATTGCTTTCCAGTTTCAGATAATCCCCCCAGCTAAAAGTTTGTTAAATAAAATAAAAAAATGATAGTACATGTATTTTCAAACAATGGCTTCTTCCGTCTTGTAATAAGGGTTTACATTTATTGAACTCTGATTCTGCCCCAGGCACTGTACATTTGCTAATGTGTTTAGGGGTGTGTGTGTAGGTGTGTAAATGTATGTATATGTCTGTGTGAGTGGTGTACACACATGTAGTTTAATAGCAGCTTTGAATTGTGGAATGGTGAAATGGGCTATTTGTTTATTTAGACTCACTGTAGCCCAGGCTGCTTAGAACTCAGTGATTTTTCTTGTCTTTGCCCCAGCTAGGATTACATCTTTGGCTTGAAATGCATCTTTTTTTTTTTGGTTTTTCGAGACAGGGTTTCTCTGTGTAGCTTTGCGCCTTTTCCTGGAACTCACTTGGTAGCCCAGGCTGGCCTTGAACTCACAGAGATCCACCTGGCTCTGCCTCCCGAGTGCTGGGATTAAAGGCGTGCACCACCACCGCCCGGCGAAATGCATCTTTTTAAAAGTGAAGCTGTCAGATGAGGTTGCTTCAGTTGGTAAAGACACTTGCCATGCAAACTCTTTTAAGACTGAATTAGATCCCAGGAACCCACTGTGGAAGGAGAGAACTGACTGCTGAAAGTTGTCCTCTGGCTGTCACATCAGTGTCACCTTCCCAACAATAATAAAATATTTCAAAGAAAACAAGGTGTGGGGCCGGGACAATGTGATGCCACGCAAGCAAAGAACTTGTTCTATTTCTGGAACGTACTTGAAAAACTAGCCTTAGAAGTGTAAGTGTGTGGTAGCCTGGGCTTGAACTCCTAACACTGGAGGAGCAGTAGATTGTAGGGGGATCCTTGGGACTAGCCTACTTGGGCCAACCCCAAGTCAGTAAAGGAAGCTGTTTCAAGAACCAAGATGGACTTCCGGGAGTGATAGCTGAGGTTGACCTCTGGCTTCCATGTGCACACATAAAATAAAAAATAAATAGGGCAGCAGGGTGGCACAACAGGTAGGTTACAGCAGTTGCTCCTAGGCTTGAAGACCTGAGTTTGATCCCTGGAATCCCACATAAAGGTGGGCAGAGAAAACCAGTGACACAAAGCTGTCCTTTGACTTTTGCACGAGTCCACACTTACAAATCGTATACATATACAATAGTGGTTTTTTTTTTTTTTGGTTTTTTTTTTTTTGGTTTTTCAAGACAGGGTTTCTCTGTGTAGCTTTGCGCCTTTCCTGGAACTCACTTGGTAGTCCAGGCTGGCCTCGAACTCACAGAGATCCGCCTGGCTCTGCCTTCCGAGTGCTGGGATTAAAGGCGTGCGCCACCACCGCCCGGCGTTGTTTTGTTTTTTAAGTGAAGTACGAGCCAGGAAAGATTACAGTACCTGTAATCCCAGCACTTGGGAGATAGAGGCAGGCAAATCAGATGTTCAAGGCAGTCCTTGGCTACTTAGGGGATTTAAATCAGCCTGGGCTACAGAAGATCCTGCCTCAAAAACACAGAATGAGTGACTGAGGAGAGAGTAGCACAGAGAGGCTTAGACTACACCAGTGGTCACGACAGGATCTGAATCCAGGTAGTCTGACTCCAGTCCCCTCAGCTGTGGAAAGCTGCCTTTGGCTTAATGATCTAGTATGTAGAAAGAGAGAGAGAGAGAGAGAGAGAGAGAGTGTGTGTGTGTGTGTGTGTGTGTGTGTGTGTGTGTGTGTGTGTGTATGTATTTTAATCACAACAAAAGTGTGTACTTAAAAAATGTAGTTGTGTGTGACAGGAATGTGAGCTCCGTTTGTAGAGTGCTTGCTTCATGTGCCTGTATCCCTAGGTTCAGCCTCCACAACTTTATGAGACCAAGTATAGGGACAAGCCTGCAATTCTTGTAGTTGGGAGGTAAGTTGAAGTTCAGTTTCAACTACATAGTGAGTTTGAGGCCAGCATGGGCTACATGAGAGAGATCCTAACTCATTAAGAAACAAATTGTGGGCCAGGAAGTTGGCTCAGCAGGTAAAAACAGTTGTCAAGTCTCTGAGTTTACTCTCTAAGATTGATGTGGTAGAAGGAGAAAACTCTAATAAGTAGGCCTCGGACACACACACACACACACACACACACACACACACATACACACACACCACCCTATCCCACCCCACCTGGTATGCATGTACTCTCCCACCCCAAGATAAATAAATAGTAAGAACTAAAATGAATTCTAAAATATACAAGACATAAAGTTTACTGTTATTTAAATTTTTTGGTCTTTTTTAGTTCCATTCAGTAGCATTAAGTACATTCACAGCCTTGTGCAGCCTTCACCACCATCGACCTTCAGAACTTACTCATCTTCCACCGCTGAAACTTTATACACATGAAACAGTCTTTTTTAACATAAATTTTTAATTAATAATTTAATAAATTGTTTTACG